AATCCGGCTGTGGTTTACGTGACAATTCTAATTTCAGTACCTGGGTTGAGTATCACCTGTGAGCCCGTTAAATTGGGCATCTTTTTGTGGAGGTTCAACATTTAGAAAACTATCAGAGTCAAAAGATTCCCACCCTAACAGTTTCTGCAGCTGTCAGAGAGCATTGAGCTTTGCTCAGCTCTACTGGTATCATTTAAAACAGGACAAGCTGACCAGCTGTTTTCACAGTCAGCTAAATCCTAACTCGGCACTTCCTGCCAATTTGTTCCAACGGCAACAAGAAAAACTTATTTTCCAGACTTTGATATGACCTTCCAGAGCCACAATTGTTTTTACAAGCTGAATGCTTCACCTCACAGGAGAAGAGTGGAAGCAGCAACGGTCAATACTTTCATAACAATGTATCACACGGTAATGTAAAAGCGGTCGCTTGTAGCGATGAAGAGAACCATCACCTGAATCTGCTGCTCACCTCTGCTTTGAGGAGCTCTATAGCGTCTCTCATTGCTACTTTACATAGAGCTGCTCCATAACTGCTGGATGTGCAAATAAGCTAGTTGTCTGTTTACAAGTTCGTTAAAAAAAAGAAAAAAAAAAGGTGATGTTACTGCAGGTTTAATTTGATTGCCTCTTTAGTTCAAGGCCCTTAAGATTTTCACTGGACAGTAGCTGGATGCAGGACGGTGACACTACAGTGCAGACATTTCCTCGTGATGCGTTTCATTAATCTGCAAACAAAAAGTTGGAAAATGCAGTTCTTTACTTTCACCAGCTTGTCGCATTCTGTCCTCATAAGATGCGACCGATTCACCCGTGCTTTACGGGCGCTTTCAAAGAATCAGAAAAGCGTGGGCGGCATCTTTGTATTAAGTGAAGCTCCATCAGAGGAAGTTAAAGGGCAGCTAATAAAATAGGCTTCCTAATTGTTCTGCAGAGAGAGAGAGAGAGAGATTTACCATATGCTAATTTGGCTTATAACCTTTCTACGCTTTCAACAGGCACCGAAAGGCCATTAACACATTACAAAAAGAGAAAATCCCTTTTAGCCCTTTGGTTCGACGTGCTTCCTTTCTCTCCATTCTCCCGTTCCCCTCTCTCATTCTGAAATTAATCTGCCGAAGATTTGCTATTAACAAAGACAATTCACTGAGGCCCGCACAGTGGTTGAGGGCCCTGGCTGAAGAAGAAGAAGAAGAAAAAAACGAGAGAAGAAAGAGAGTGAGCGGAACGGCAGGATCGGGCACTTCACCGAGATGAGGACAAAAGACAGGAGGAAATGAGTGAGGGAGAGAAAAGAAAACCGGCGACTGTCTGGCTCTCTCTCTGACTTGTGACTCAGCGCTGCTGCTCCCCCCCACACACAGGAAAAGGAAGCACTTAGGAGAAAGGAGAGAAGGTGCCACGGGTGACTCGCACCTTTCTTTCACACTTGAGGCCGAACTCTGCAACTTTACGTTTCAGCCTGCTTCTCACAATGCAGGGCTTTTGTATTTACCCGACGTTTACGCTGCAATCTCTCCTCCCCTCCTGCCCCTCCTCCTCTTTAATTCTGCAAGTAATCCTCGCCTCACCTGTTACGCCACTTTCCTTTCTCATCCCCTCCTTTGCCCCCTATCTGTTCTTTCTTTCCTTCTTGTTCTCTTAAGTGTGCAAAATGTTCAGTCTTCTTGTGACCTTCTTTTAAAAGCATTTTAAAGCTCCTCTCTCTCCTTGAAGCATTGAAGAAACATGCGTTACTGCCTCCTTCTCATCTTGCCATTGCTGCTCTGCTCTTCCACCTCCTCGTGGTCCTCCAGGAAAATGTTAAAGACTTCTTTTTCACCCTCCGGTTCGTTCCCTCCTCCTCAGCTCAATGCCACAGGAAATGCGAGTCTTCTCTTTCATTCCCATTCATTCCCCGTTCTTCATCTTAACCCTCCACTTCTTTTTCATCCTCACATCCTTCTCGCTCCCGATCACTTGGTAAATGCTTAATCAGCCGTTTCCTCTCGCTTCTCATATGTTCAGTGTTACTCATCCATTTCTGTGCAGGCGATATTGCATCACTGTCGGCGCGTAGGTTGGTTCTGACCGCGGCAGCCCACCGACTTTGTCGAGATTCCAGACAGCCATGCGGATATGCGACATGTGCATGACACTTTTAATGGCCCAGATGCACTGACGCGCGTTTTTTTATATGGCTGACAAAAGCTTTAACATGAACTACTTTGACGCCTCTACTTTACCTAGATTTGATTTTTGGAGCACCAAGTGAGGACCCTGCACCTAAATACCTGCATAGAGAGCTCAAACCATACAAAAACTAGGGGATATTCCCCAGAGGGCGATATTTTCGAAAAGAAATACATTATTAATTAATAACAAACATGGCCGCTGTACAACAGCGGCCATGTTTTTGCAGGCAATTTCACTTTATCTAGTTCAATTCAATCTCATCCACTTTACAGTTTTGAACCAGGACCTTCATTATTCAGATCAAGCTAAAAGAATAAGTAGCGTCTGTAATATACAAATATGTCACCTATGACACCTCAGACCACACCCACCATTCAGCTGTACCTTGCTTAATTGCATTGTTGTCGGTATGAGCAGACGACCATGTACATTATGGCTGAACATCTCAGTAATAACATGGGAATAATGCACTACAGGAAATGTAGCATACAGCGTTATTGAAGCTTAACCCCAACACCGAGGGTCCGATATCTCAGCTTCTGCTGGTTTGATGTTGCCTGTACTTTGAGGGACAACACTAAATTGCTGGAGAAATACGCACAACATCTTAAAGGGATTCATAAATGCTGCTTTACAGTACTACCTACAATACTATTATCAACACTAAGCTTCAAATGTATTCGTTACCCCGCAATATGATTTTGCACACTGTGCGTTTCCATAAAAACTGACAGTTTCAACGTACTAACAATGAATAAGGGCTAGAATATGCAAAACCACCCATTTCCTTTTACATTTATGGTTATATCACTGAAAACTGAATGGAGTGATTACAGTGAAACACAGATTGTAGTGTCTGCGTTATCACCACGATCGGCGATAGAGAATACAAATACTGCTACTTAATTTAGGGGTGAAATGAGTTTTAAAAGAAATGACGCTAAACTCAACAATACCCTGGCTCTCACAATGAGAGGCCGGGGGTGACGAGAGCCCCAAAACACACAGACCTTGTCATGGACCTTTATCTACAAGGTACGACTACGAAACCAAACAACACTAAGGGGAAACACAGACTGTCCATTCAGGCAAAAGGACGTAGGAAGGGCTCTATGAAAGCTTCTCCCGTTCTCACCTGAGCCCAAAGGGTGTTCCTTTATTTGGACAAGGCTGGCTTCTACAGGGCCTCCAATTAAAAAGTGGCTCTCCGGAAACAGCCATAACCTTGGTTGTGTTACTGTCACTGAGCTGTAAAACATCAGATTCAAAGAGCAGTGGATGATGGGGACAAAAAAAAGAAAACAAATCTCATTTGAGTGAAGAATGTGAGCAAGTCTGCCCGCACTTCAAGTGCATGTGCGTATATGTATTCATAGCACAAGAAACAGTAATTACAAAGAGCCCTCAGCATCAGGAGGTCTGGTCCTGCTCGACCGGTCATTCTGTTCGCGACGTCCCTCCAGCGGCTTTCTATTAGCGTCGGGAGTGTGTTGGAGTGGAGATAAGGCGGGCGCTACAGCATGTCTCAACGCGGTGGGAAGGCAGGTAGGAGAGGAGAGGAGGGGGGAGTCACGTGAAACAGGCACCGGTCAGTGTGTAAAACAAGCGCGCTCTACCCCCCCTCCCACGACTGCACCACTCCTATCTCCAGCTCCAGGAAACTCTCAGGGTGCAATTTACCGCTCGCACTGCACTGATAATACTGTCTCCGGAGCAGCAAGGAGAGAGTAATGGGCTGGGTTAGAAAAAAAGAGAGAAAGACAGAAGGTGGGGGTGGGTGAGGAGACAGAAAGAGAGCGGAGAGAGAAAATGGTAAAGAGAGAGAGAGAGAGAGGGGGGGGGGGGGGGGGGAATAAAAAATAGAACAAGGATGTAAAAGAAACCCAGATGAATGACCAAGTACTGTGTATTGTCAATTTGTAGATATGTGTGTATGTTTTGAACCTGCTTCAGACCAGGGGTACTCAATTACAATTCAAAGAGCTACGAGAATTTCCTGACCAGCAAAGGTCTGAACCTCATAATTACTAAATTGCATCCATCAACAATGTGCATTTCCATATCAATTCAACAATATTAAGACATTGCGGTTATATGGCCTGCACTGTAACCACTTAACTAGCGGCTAGCTAGCGGTAGCTATCTTAACCATAAACAAAATTGGTTTAAGGGCAAATAACTTAAGGCCTAGATTTCAAGTAAAAGAAAACAGTATGGAGTTTCCAGAATAAAATCAATAAAAAGTTCACTTTTTTTTTTTTTCAGTCTAGATGGAATTGGTGTCATTCTCTTGCTCCTGTGTAGATGCCCACTGGTGACCCTGGACCGGTACTTGGTTTTTAATGACGTTCCATAGGTGAGAAGGTTGACTCCCAGCTGTAAGTCGATCCAAACATGGTTCAGGAGCGCAGTGCTACCTTGGTTAGAGATCAACAGAAAGGAGCAGGTCAGCTGCTTCACGCTCCACGCCGTCATCTCTCTCAGTTTCAAATTTACTAGTCCGTTAAAAATGACCATCACTCCGAGTTACGACCTACACTGTTGATGTAATGCAGGAAAAGAGGACAGTTACGAGTTGATTGTCCTCAGAAAGCATCGCTAGCGCCTCTGCTTTCACCGCAACAGAACAAATGTTGATAAAAAAAAAAAAAATCATACAAATATAGTTGGGCCTAAGTCAACCCTGATTGGCACCTGAGGGAATTTTGAGTGGTTTCCCAACAATGTTGTCCTTTGAAAGTAAAAGGTCTATCCGTCAGATAATTGAAGTCACAAGGCTGGTGTTAAAAGGGCATGAGTGTGTGTGTGTGTGTGTGTGTGTGTACCAGTTGTTTGGCGTTCTCATCTTCCAGGCGTTTTTGTTGTCTTTCCCGGGTCATGGCTTTAGTCATCTCCTCCCTTGCCGCCTCCCTCTCTCTTTGTGCCACTTTGACCCATTCCTCCTTCAGTACTGTCTGCTGGCGCTCATACCTGAAACACATAAACACACACACACACACACAATCATGCTTCCTTTCCTTGCACACAAAGTGATTACAGTCAAACCTACTTTAAACATATATTTTCCACAAGGGGGCAGCATATACCAACTTTTATCACACCGGTCAAATACATGGAGTATCTCAGCTGAGACGATGTTAAGTCCCCTGTAATGAGACGATTACTGAGAGAAATTAAGAAAATAGTCATTTAAAGTTGGCTGCAATCTGTCAGCATCCGGTTTGATCTTCAGCAGGGACACAGAGGTTATCAAGACAACATTTAACATTTATAATAGAACATTCCTTTACAACTTTTCTTTGGCCGTTTTCAACCACTTTCACCAGTATTCTACAATCAATTCAAAGGGCTGCAATGAAACGTTGTTGATCCTTTAGACAGTCTGACCTCAACCTTACTGAAAGGAGGAATGTCTGATTGGAGATTAAACTGGGGAACAGTATAAAGGTTTTGTGTATGTTCTTTTTAATCTGTGTTTCCCTGGCTTTTGAATATTAAGGGCCACTGGCCCAACACAACTGACTATCATAATGTAATGTAACTTTGGTTCCTTAGCCATAAACCACTCGTCAGCTCCATGACATTGAATTGGCATCTCCCTGGAATCCAAAGTCAGCTAATGAACTCTTGCATTTATATTGCACTGAGCCCCCTTCATTATTGTTCATCCTGCATCGCTCTGTTCTGTTCTTTAATGTAACGTTACTGTAGCGACGGAGCCTCTCCCAGCTGTTAGCAGACTGTTGTGCTACCGGGCTAGCTAGCGAGCTGTACCCAGCATGCCGTTCGGCAGTGAAATTTTATAAATGTACAATTATTAGTGTTACAAATTGTTTGTGTGTCACAAACTGTTGTGTCGTGGTGTTTTGCCCTGTTAAAGAGCGGTAGTTGTGGGTTTTAATTGTCGTTATAAAGTTATAACCATGACTAGGGTTCCCTCTCAATACACTCTAATCACCTAGCTCCGACTGTAGCGCTCATAGTGGCGAACAATATATTTAGCTGCCCGTTGAAAAGTGACAGCAGTTGTTTCAGCTATGTTTCAGTATGACGGTGTGTGAAAAATGAATATCATACGGGAAATCAAAACCGGTATACCGGGTCCACCCAGCACTAACTTGAAGTATTAGATTCCAGTGGTGGCTGCATCGGATTGTTTCCGACTTGTGTGATCAAAACATTTCCAATAACTCCAGAGCGTTGTAAAGTCCAAAAGTCAAAATTGAACGAAATGAAGATAGATTCACAAGATGTTTTTATCTAATGAAATATTCTGCTTTAATTCATATTAGTGGGTGTTTAGCCTTTTAAGAACAACATTTTCACTGCAGTCTCCTGCTTGCCGCACACAAAGGGAAGCACACAGCTGTATTAACAGGGCGGTCTAGCAGCAATGTAACAGCACCATAAATTACACTTATTTATCCACAATAACAAAAATATGTTTCCATTTTATTTTGGATGATCATAAAATATGATGATAAGACATTAAAACAACCAAAAAACTCAATAGAAGATTGGAACGTAAACAACATGCATTCAGCAGCAGGGCCTTAGCTGTTAGTTAGCAGTGTTAGTCACTTTACATGAAAGTGATTCAGAGCTACACATTCGGCCCTACGTAGCTGTTTTTGCACATCAATATTCAAAGTTACTTTTATCATCCCTTGAATATTTTTCAACCAGTCAGACTCTGTATTGCAAAGCAACATTTTCTTTCAACCCACCTTTTCTGTTCTTCCTTAGCATAGGCGGCTGGTTTGCTAGTGCTGGACCGGGTACCGGGCTGGGCCTGGTGCTGAGGGCCCTGCTGGGGTCGAGAGCCTGGGCTGGCGCTGCGAGGAGCACCTGGACAGAGTGGATATCGAACAGAAAAAAAAAATGAGATGGTATGTATACATTTCTGACAAGTTCAAATGAGTGAAAAGTGTCTGTCTGTGTCTTAACTGCAGGAGACCAGTGATCAAATGATCTCTCAAGCTGCCAATAACCAGCCCTGTCACAAAGTGTCATAAGTCGGAGCTCAGAGAGTCTGAATAATGAAAACCATCCTGACTGCTTCAAGAGTCAGGGAGAGCGGGAGAGTGTGTGACCGATAGACAAGCTAGATGGGAGATTTACAGAAGTACAATGACTTATACAACAGTATTGTCTGACTGAGCGGTACACTTCATGACTAGTTAACTCACTTTTATGTCTGTGGAGTTACCCTTCCATATTCAAATGTGGAATTATAAGGCTACAAGTAAAGACCATTTTTTATTTTCCTTTCCAGAACACCCACTGTGTGCGTGTGTGTGTGCGTGTGTGTGTGTGTGTGTGCATGCACCGTACCTGTGTGCTCTTGGCAATATGTAAACAGCACATTAAGGTTTACATATTGTCGTGTTGTGAGGGACAGACTGTCAGGTGCATGTTACCTGTGTCTTTCTCAGGGCTTGAGGTTGGCGAGGACGTGCGTTCTGGAGCAATGTTGGCCACTCCTCTCATCCTCTGAAGAACATCTTCTGACAGCTAGGGAGGGATAAAGAGCAAATGTAAAAAAGGATAGGTAAGTAACAGACACAGAATCAACCCGTAATTGAACCTAGGATAGGCCGGACGTTTTTCTCTTCTTATTCTTTGCATTTGTTTGCTTTAAAACAACGAGAGGCCGCTCTGCAAGTTCCTACAAACTTAATAACAGTTTACTGGAGCACAAACCGTAGCATGCACATTACATGGTGTCGTATTCAAATGAAAATCAGCTTTTATCTTTTTTTAATCCGTTGGTTAGGACAGAGCAACTTATAAACCTGCAAAATGTTCCAGAATACAATGAGTCACTGTCGCTCTACTTTATGTGTGCATGTGTGTGTGTGTGTCCAGGGAAATGGCAAAACATACAGTTGTGTGAAAAAGTGTTGCCCCCTTCCTGATTTCTTATTTTTTTGCATGTTTGTCACACTTAAGTGTTTCAGATCATCAAACAAATTTAAATATTAGACAAAGATAACACAAGTAAACACAAAATGCAGTTTTTAAATGAAGGTTTTTATTATTAAGGGGGAAAAAAAATCCAAACCTACATGGCCCTGTGTGAAAAAGTGATTGCCCCCCCCTGTTAAAACATAAATTAACTGTGGTTTATCACATCTTTGGAAAGCTGGGTTCAATTTCTCTAGCCACACCCAGGCCTGATTACTACCACACCTGTTCTCAATCAAGAAATCACTTAAATAGGACCTGCCTGACAAAGTGAGGTAGACCAAAAGATCCTCAAAAGCTAGACATCATGCTGCGATCCAAAGAAATTCAGGAACAAATGAGAAACAAAGTAATTGAGATCTATCAGTCTGGAAAAGGTTACAAAGCCATTTCTAAAGCTTTGGGACTCCAGCGAACCACAGTGAGAGCCATTATCCACAAATGGCGAAAACATGGAACAGTGGTGAACCTTCCCAGGAGTGGCCGGCCGACCAAAATTACCCCAAGAGCGCAGCGACGACTCATCCAAGAGGTCACAAAAGACCCCAGAACAACATCCAAAGAACTGCAGGCCTCACTTGCCTCAATTAAGGTCAGTGTTCATGACTCCACCATAAGAAAGAGACTGGGCAAAAATGGCCTGCATGGCAGAGTTCCAAGACAAAAACCACTGCTGAGCAAAAAGAACATAAAGGCTCGTCTCAGTTTTGCCAGAAAACATCTTGATGATCCCCAAGACTTTTGGGAAAATACTCTGTGGACTGACGAGACAAAAGTTGAACTTTTTGGAAGGTGTATGTCCCATTACATCTGGCGTTAAAGTAACACGGCATTTCAGAAAAGGAACATCATACCAACAGTAAAATATGGTGGTGGTAGTGTGATGGTCTGGGGCTGTTTTGCTGCTTCAGGACCTGGAAGACTTGCTGTGGTAAATGGAACCATGTATTCTGCTGTCTACCAAAAAATCCTGAAGGAGAATGTCTGGCCATCTGTTCGTGACCTCAAGCTGAAGCGCACTTGGGTTCTGCAGCAGGACAATGATCCAAAACACACCAGCAAGTCCACCTCTGAATGGCTTAAGAAAAACAAAATGAAGACTTTGGAGTGGCCTAGTCAAAGTCCCGACCTGAATCCGATTGAGATGCTGTGGCATGACCTTAAAAAGGCGGTTCTTGCTCGAAAACCCTCCAATGTGGCTGAAGTACAACAATTCTGCAAAGATGAGTGGGCCAAAATTCCTCTACAGCGCTGTAAAAGACTCATTGCCAGTTATCGCAAACGCTTGATTGCAGTTGTTGCTGCTAAGGGTGGCCCAAGCAGTTATTAGGTTTAGGGGGCAATCACTTTTTCACACAGGGCCATGTAGGTTTGGATTTTTTTTTTCCCCTTAATAATAAAAACCTTCATTTAAAAACTGCATTTTGTGTTTACTTGTTATCTTTGTCTAATATTTAAATTTGTTTGATGATCTGAAACATTTAAGTGTGACAAACATGCAAAAAAATAAGAAATCAGGAAGGGGGCAAACACTTTTTCACACAACTGTAGTTGAACCACAGTAGGCAGCAGCAGCCACTGACTCACTGTTCCTATGACTCACAGGATTTGAATGTGCAGGCAGGGCTGTTAAATAAGGTCATCCATAAGGCTCGTCGTTTTGATTTCTTATAGACATGTTCACAATCATTGTGATGCATGGAAGACCACCAGAAGTGGCCAATAAACTCTTAACTTGCTTGAATTGCACTGGTTTATCTTTCATGGCTGTAAAACTTTACTAGCTTACATTTGAGTCTAGCTTACATTTGAGTCTAGCTAGGTCTGAAGGTGCCTTCAAATCCTATGGGAACTTTGGGGATTATATCCAACAAGTTCACAATAAAGAAATGTGAGCATTATTTTTATGGAAGTGCACATGGAAGTGGCTTTCAGCTTTCATTTTGAAGGCAGCCCATAATTGAAGTTAACACCAAAGCTGGTGGAGGGCACTACTTAACTGACCTTGAAGGTTTCTGGTCTGTTTTACCTCTGACCACACCCAGCAGAGTGCAACGCATGCACCTGTAACCACACTCAACAGGCTGTGAAGGGTTAGGGTGACACAGAGTGCACTTCTACTTCACTACAGCAAGGTGAGAACCTCGTCAACTTAAGGTCGGCAACAAAAAAAGTACATTACATTTTCTGCTGGTGTAAAGTTGCACTTTTTCAGGTAAACGACCCTGAAACAAAATCTGTGAAGGTTTTGGCGACAAAAACGGACACGGTCTGTCAGGCAAACCTCTGAAATAACATCCCTCTATCTAATCCATGGTGAGGAAGGAGGTAATGGAGGTGAGGCTGCAAAGGTGAAAAAGGATCAAAGGCTTGGCTTATACGTTCTGCAAAGGTAGCCGCAGTCACTTCTGTTGTTCCTGCCAATTATTTTCTTTCACAGCATTACAAACATTCTTATTGTCAATTTGCAAATACATTTTAGGATTAGGAGCACTCGCTTCTTTGCAAAAAATTGGCTCAACAAATCTTTCAGCGAATGCAAATGCATCAGAATCCTTGTCACGTTATTGCATGAAGGTATCAGTCGAGTTCCCTATTCCACTATTCACTACATTAAAACATTTATACATAGAGTAGTTAAATATCTTTTGGCCACATATACAGTTATATGACTTTTTACAGTATTATTTGGCACTAGACAAAATTCCGACATTTACAATAGCACCTGAAAGCAGCAGCAGCAAGAGGAGAGAACAGCACGCCAAACTTCATTCGAAATTTGCAAATTTCTAGCTCCCTGGTTATGGCCCATATCTTCATCGCTACAACAACATGAATCTCTCCTTGAGTTAACAATGCATCTACGGTGCACCTGAAATGTTCCATATAAATAATAACGAGCGTTAACGATTGGTTCGCCTCTTAACTGGTAGCTGAACGTTGTTAGCAAACGCTGGACAGAAGCTAGTAAATTGTCAAAATTGTGCGATTTCTAATTAATTTATCACTGCAGGGTGGATGGTTTATACGCAGAGTTTACCAGAAGACACTGGAGGTTTATAAATGACGTTTGATCATCTGCCAGGTATGTTGTTTTGCCGATAAGCAAGGCATACTTTCACCTGTAGTCCATTACGACTGAAGTCTGGCGTAACGACACAGGGTAATGTTTCAGGTGGTACATCCACCTGCCCCAGCATCCCTTTACACCCTCATCACTCCAGCAGTCGCTTCACGGGCTGCTGACCTAACGTTAGTTTAACTCAGAATTATCGGTAAGTTAGCGTTGCTGTGTTGTTCTTATACAGTCTATTGGTTGCAACGTGCTAGCGGCTAGTTAGCGCTAGGCGCACCACTAAAGTAATGTTAGCACGGCTTAACGCTAGCTAAATTAGCATTACCTTGACTCCACGAAGAATCCTGACTCTGTCCTCATCGTCAACACCAAAGGACACCTTTCTGGTCGTACTCTCTCCCGACCCCATACCTTCTGGTGTCAGGGGACAGCTTTGCTGATGACTTTGCATAGAATTAAGTTAGTAACATGAATTGATGTCCTGCCCAATGACAAAATGTATGACAGATGGGATCTGGGTTGCCAGATTCGTCCTAAACCATCCCCCTCTAACAGATGTTTGTAAGACTGGGAGTAGGTTTTTCTACCAATAAATTAATAAAACAAGTAACTTAAATTATTCCTAGCTAACACAATTGTTCTGTATATGTGTACAGGTGCATTTAGGTTGAATAAAAACGATAAAATATCCGTTAGTTGCCTATTTACTGCCCAACCTGGCAACCTTAATGTCAACTAAAGCACCCTTGAATTAATAAACGGTCAAGAGCCAATCATGTACAATAGAAACTGTCAAACGTAGAAGTATGATACACAGGCATCATCACAAGAGTTTAATTGTTGCACAAACATAAGCATGTCTCATATCCAGCCTAAATGTCAGTGTTCACACACATCAATGTTTACTGTATATAAAGAACATAAAAAGGAAAACATTCATGAGACATTCAGTTAACTTTTAATACACAGACAAATGGAAACACAATAAATCTTAGCATCTCAGATAAACAGATGACCAAAAAAACCACAAAGCAAATTCATTCACGGAACACCCATATTGATCTATATACCCCACAAAATGCACTCTCATCATGAATGAAAAAACATGTTTTTGTAAACAAATTATCTCGTGATTTAAATGCTCCAGTTCCATTATGCCCTCATTGTTTTGTATGATAGCATGGCATTTTAAAGTATTGTATGTATTGTGGGATATAACCGACTTTATTTAGAAAACACTTTGCATACAAGACATGTAGCTCAAAGTACAATTAAAATGAAACCCATTTAAACAAAGGCACAAAGACAATAAAAATAGACAATCAAAAGAAATGAGTTGAGAAAATATGTGCGAAGGCTTAAAAAAACAGACCATTAACAATAATAGAAATGAAGGAATTATTATTTGGCATAGAATGCCAAATTATAGGTTTTCAGCTGTTTTTAATTTATTATGTGTATGTATTATGATAATTGTGTGTATTTAAAAACCCAGCACCTAAAGATCTGAGAGCTTTTGAAGGATTACAGAACGAGAGAGTCTGCATTGTAGGCCGGTCCACAAATCATTGGGGGCTTTACAAATAAAAGCTCTTTATGGTTCTTTTACTTCAATACAAAGAAGTAAAAGAACCTTAAAATATTTTCTAAAAGCTACTGGGATCCAATGGAGTCTAAAACCAAAGCAATATGCTCTTGCTTCCTGGGAATCCACATCACAAAGGATCTGACATGGGCCCTTAACACCTCTCACCTGGTGAAGAAAGCCCAACAGAGGCCCTTCTTCTTGAGGAAACTCAAAAAAGCCAAACTCCCCTCTCAGTTCCTAGTTAACTTCTACAGGAGCACCATAGAGACAATTATCTGCAGCTGCACTGCAGAGAACCGGAGAGACCTGGCCCGGGTAGTTAAAACAGCACAGAGGATCGCAGGAACCAAGCTCCCGACTGTGGATACGGTATATGCTAGGCGTCTACACAAGAAGGCTAGCAACATCAGCAAGGACCCAACCCACCCAGGTCACAGTCTGTTTGTCCCCCTGCCATCGGGGAGAAGGTACAGAACTATACAAACACGTACAAACAGACTGAGGAACAGCTTCTTCCCCAGAGCTGTAGCCTCCATCCATCCCCCCCACAGACACACCACTGTAGCTGCAACTCAGTCATAAAAAGCTAGCACCACCCACCCCATCAAGCTGCTGAAAATTCTACTGACTTTACTGATACACTTTATACTCCGTTTGTACTGTCAAAACAAATGTTTACACTGCACTGTTTACACAAACTTTATTTTATTATTACTTTAGTAACATTTTTATTCCTTTTGTATATTTTTATCTTTAGTAACGTTTTTTTTGTTCCTTTTGTGTATTTTTATCTTGCATTGTTTATCGTTGTTCGCTGCTGCTGGCTGGCTGAGGGCTACCAAACGAAATTTCGTTGTATCACTACAAGGACAATAAAAACCTCTTTATCTTATCTTTAGGCTAAAAGTTAAGCGGCACAGTTATGAATAAGTTTGACATTTTTTTTAATTCTCTGTTTGGGTAGACCAGTAAAAAGAGCACTAAAACAATATAATCTAATTGAAATAAAAGCATATCTTTTAAATATCTTTTTCTGCACTTGTATAAGATATGATACTGTTTAAATTGTGATAAAAAGCTGTTTTGGTTACCTTTATGTGAAACTTTACTCTGGCAATGCCCAGGCAAGTTACTTGTGATTTAATCACATCCCATTGTGCAGTGTGATCCAGGACTGCGGTGTGTTTGAATGTATACTGAATGCCGGATAGACCGCCTCCTTGAACACAGCCCTGAAGGTGTGGAGGTGCTCCCTGCGCCCTTTGATGTTGTGGAACATCAATGTCCCCGCCTCGTAGTCCAGCGCTATCTCGATCCTCAGCGGATGATGGGTCATTTCCCCCAGAGCCACGTTGCAGGAGGACTGGCACCCTGTCAGCTTGCCGTTTTTCCACTGCAGCCGCCAGGAAACTGAGTTGTGACCTAAACGACTGTGGTCCCCACGGCGAGGGATGCTCTTGTAACACACGCCCAGCGACCACATGCTGTTGGCCCCCACCTCCACCACCCATACATGCTCCCCGCTTGAGAACCCCTGGCCACAAAGAACCTGAGGCGCGCTTGTGAAACGCTCTGGGTGCTCCGCGTATGTCAGCTTGGCGGAGCTGTACTTGACTGTACGCTGATCATTGGAGACCAACAGGCTGGGGTGGGCGGTGCAGAGGTTGAAGGTGAGGTCCAGGGGGTTCAGGAGTATGTGGAGGGAATCCAGGAGGCCGGTCATCTCTGAGCAGAAGTCTTGGGTTTTGAGGCCCGCCTGGAGACGCTTGGTGTTGAGCGGTGCTTTCGAGGCGATCATGGGGGGAATGGGGCCGGTGATGACTTCTCTCAGCTTAGGTTCAATCATCATGAACCTGGAGAGCAGAAGGATTTCCTCAGTTGAGGATTGTTGCTGCTATGTGTGCTTCTTTGCGACACGTCTTTACTTATGTAGGCTGTGTGTGTGTGTGTGTGTGTGTGGACCTATCTGCTTATCTTATATTTCACAAGCGCCAATAGCTTACAGTGCACATGTTTATCTTGCACGTTTTTAAAATTCTATATTACTCAGTTTGTAAAGCTGATCATGCGAATGCAATTCATTTTCATGGTGCATGTGTTGACTAACCTCTTTATTTTTTTGTTCTCATCAATCAATATACTATGGGACAATGTAAACAACGTTTGCAGGGAAAATATTCTTTTTGCTGTTGAGTTACTATTTCTTTCACTGGGTTTAAGAGTAGGGTTGTAAAGGCAGTTTCGATGTGTGTTGTACCTGTGTATGAAGATGCACGCGTCTGTCTCGCTGAGGGCCTGCGTGGCACTTCGCTGGGCCTCCGCTAACTGCTGCTGTTGCTCTTCGAGTGCATCCAGTTCCAACTGCCAGCTTTTCCTGCGCATGCACGTCTCCTCCTCCAACAGCACGCGCAGACGCTCCCTGTACCTGAACACAACACAACAGCGTTGCATCTAAATAAGGGTAGATTGCGTGAGCTAAATAGCACAAGAAGCCTAATTTTCCTTTACAATAATTCACCACTTGTGCCATATAGCGTACGGTCCTAAAGAACAATCATATTGATTCAGATTTTTTTTTTTTCACATGTAAGGAAATCAAACTTTAAAAACTAAAACAATGATGTAAACTATCTTCTAGTCCAGTTTTAGAGCTGTTGTCAAATAGTCTATGACATTAAGTTTACTGGCAGTCTAAAAACAGGCTGAGAAACTGGATTCATCTCATGAAGTGAATGGCACGTGAAGTCACTGCTTCAACCTGCTCTTCAAGCCTGAAAGAAGAGCCGCTTCTGGTAATCTGATGAACACATTTACTGTAAATCCTGCGTGAATGACTTTACACATGTTCTTACAGTTATAGTAAAGGGAGAGTACTCCAACAAAAACAAAAAACAGTTCCATCACTATTTAAATGTAAAGAAGAGTTGACCCATCCTCTGTTAAAACTTACATAGTACATCATTTTACTCATTTAAAAAAACGGTGTGCATTAGGATTGGTTGTTTTTAAATTAACTAATTAAAGATAAAGACATTTCCATTCCTTTATTTTATCTATTCATATCTATTTTTAATGTCATGGCTTTTAATAGCCTATGTAACAATTCCATAGAATGTGATGTTATTCATATTCACCATTAGTGAGCATCACAGTCACGAAAAGCAACAGGTTATGGTTTGTTTTTTCGTTTTCTGGTTGTGACATTTCTAAAGAGATTGAGATCAGTGTTATTGTCCACAAATGACGATGAAGGGGTGAAAGGTCCTGTTATACATTTACTGCCATCCACTGGACCATGAAAGCCACTGAAAACATGGTTTAAAAGCTTTTTAAGTATCCATGTCTTCATAAAGTAGGACACTTGCATATTTTAATACACCTGCTTCAGGGCACCATGTGTGACTTTTAAAGGCAGCATCAACACCAGCACACGTGCAGCATGTTACCTGTCCACTAGAGCAGCCATACTCTCCATGACAGTGACTGCCTTGTTGACCAGTTTCTCCCCTATGGCTTCAGACGCTCCCTGCTCCTTTGTTGTCTTCTGAAGGAGACTCTCGGTCATCTGCAGCCTGCAAGAAACCACCTGCAAACACACAAGTGACATTTTGAGTAACGGGCTGTGAACAAGGCAAGGGGAAAAAAACCCATTTCCATGTTGCAAGTGAAATGGGTTGAGTTGGCTCTTCTGCTGAGCACTGATGGAATTTAAGTGTTTGAATCAGTCACCTGGAACAGGGAACTCCCTTTTATCCTGACAGAAGTCATTACCCTGTTCTCTAAAGTCAGAGCATTTTTTGCATTCTCATCATTCACCAGTTACAAAGCACGGTGGCACTGAGCCAGACAGCCGCCAGCCAAATTATTTTAAAGTTCTGTAAAAGTCTGCATACATTTTAATTTAATTTTAATCTAGAAGTTTCCTTGAAATAAAGAGTTGTATTTCAACTTAAGCATACAATATACATTCATTAAGATTATTGTACTCTATTAATAGGAACGTTATTTGTCTTGTCAAGTTGTGTGCTTGCATGTTGATAAATGATCGGCATGTTCACCTGACATGCTCTGCACTGACTAAAGAAATCTCTGGGTTATCAGTTTGTTTTAATTTCCCGATAAATTATTTTCAGGAAATTATTCTAAAGTTTGACCGTAAAACAGAACATTACCTTGTCTTCTACTTTATCACCAAATCACAATATTTTAGACGTGAGCAAAACTAATGCTACAATATCACAGTCGGAAAAATGCCTCTGGAATAAAAGTCTGGAAAACACAAATGAAACAACAGAGCTACCATGCTGCGGTTCTCCAACACCCGTCTCATCTCCTCTTCGGCCGCGTCGATTGTGAGGACGTCGTGGTTCTGGTGATGGCCTTCTGTGAAGCACGTGCCGCACATCAAGCTCATGTCGTTGGAGCAAAAGTACTCAAGGGGACGCCGGTGGGTGGCGCAGCTTTTGGTCCCCAGCTCATTCAGGGGCTCCACCATAGTGTGCGCACTCAGCCACTCCTTATCCTGGTGTCTCTGGAGGTGCCCGGAGCACAGCGACACCTCGCACCTCAGGCAGGTCTTCACAGCCGGGGACTTTTTGTCGATGCAGTGGTCGCAGAGAACCTCCTCCGTCCTCTCAGGCTCGCTCTCAGGGCGCCTTTCCAGCTGCGGCACGCTGGCTTGGTAGCCCTCGATGATGCTGCAGAGCTTGAAGTTTTTCCTCAGGGAATCCACACCCTGATACTCCTTGCGGCACTCCGGGCAACGTAGAGATGTTTTGTCCGTCCCGTCGATGGTCTTGCAGATGCAGGCCAGACAGTAGTTGTGGCCACAGGGGAGAACTACCGGATCGGAGAATAACTGGAGGCAGATGGGGCAGCTCAGCTCGTGGGCTAGCTGCTCCTCCGGCTTGGACGAAGACATGGTGGGAGGTGGTGGTGTTGGATGCTTCTTAAGTTGCTTGCCGATTATTTCTCTTGTCGCTCTTGACAAAACCTCCAACACTTACCTTGCCTCCACCTTTAGTCCCTTCTTCAAACTGTCTCCTCTTCCCAGGCCGGTGAGTCTACGATGACAACAGGTAATACAGACGGTATACAAAACAAACAAGGAAGTCAGCTGCCGTTTATAATTCATCAGAACTGTAGAAGGCGTATCCATGTATGCAGGACAGCATTCCTTTCCAAGAGGCCCTGTCCTCTGCGCTACCAGAAATTTCCACCACCACAGGGGTTGCTGTTGATGGTAAAATTATGCCACGCATGACAATAGTCATGTGGCCGCAGAGCTCATTGTGGAAACTAGAATGCAAATGATGTGCCAGGAGCCATCTTAACTGGAGAACAGAGAGAACAAATATTACCTGAGGTAAGTGCAAGCTGCACACCTTGTTCCATTGTCGGTCATTTTCTTATTTTAGCTTTAGTTGTCTTCAGTAGACTTGAAAATTCCACAACCCAACCCAAAAGGTGTTTAAAACTCTTCGTGGTACAAAATACATGACCGACAGTTGGTTTCATCCAACATTTGGCTCATTGTGTGCACGTCAAGTAAGTTGTGTGTGTTTCTGCACGTGCTCGGATGCAACGGAGGAGCCTGATGCCTCACACACAGTACGATCACACGTGCTGAACGTCTCCTGTTGACTGTAAGCAACGCGGGGGGGGGGGGGGGGGGGGGGGGGGCGGGTGTCGGTCAAGTATTTTGTAC